ATGTATGGTTGAGTTTACTTTGTCATGAATTGCAAAGAACATGAATAAAGAAATAAAATGAAAAATGTAAAAAATATGTCTATATGCGTACAACAACCAGATTATAGAATTTACTAATAGAACAATAAGATAAGATAAGATAAGATAACTTTATTGTTCCACAAGGGAAATTCTTCTGCTCGTCATCACATATTATATTAAAAAATGTAAAACAAATATAAAAACATACAAAACAGTCACTATAGAAAATATAACAATTTACAAGTAAAATACAATGACAACCATCGAAAAAATAATTGAATTACTATTGATTATTTTTATTCTTATTATTATTATTATTCTTATTATTATTATTATTATTATTATTATTATTATTATTATTATTATTATTACTATTCCTATTATTATTATTATTATTATTATTATTATCATTATCGTAATTAATACAGTTAAAATTATTATTGATATTATTTTATAGATAATGAATTATCTTCTAAACCTCTTGTTGAACTGGGTGATGCCGGAGGGGATAAGTGACTTCGCATAACGGTTTGTTTTTGCTCCGAGTAGCCTCATTCTACCACTTGGATTAAGTTGGTTAATAATAGCATAATGGAGTGGATGAGAGGTATCTAACTCAATACGATGGAAGGTTTTCTGAAGATGTTCTAGATACATCTCACTAATGGAGGGCAACTGTAGACCAATCATTTTACAAGCCTGACGGATGAAAGTGTCAATACGTCCTTTATCCACTCCGGCAGCATTACCAGCCCAACAAGCAAGGCAATAAGGCCAAATCAATAACTTTCCAATGATAACCACATGAACTACATTACTCCACCAAATTTTAGAAACAATAGCAGTATTGTACAAATAAACGGCATCATACTTTTTATGTTAATCATCTATTTATTTTGGCGCACATTGATCATACAGTGCTCCTATCATTCCTATCATTATCAAATTCGAACGCACAATGAACAGATCATAATTATGCCTATACAAAAAAAATTATTAGATCATCACTCCAGCCCGCTTCAACAAAATTGGGAAATATTGATGCGGAAATTTAAAAAAATGTTTCTTTTTCTTGGCCGCATCATTTTTTCAACAGCATAAAAAAAAACAATGTAATTTTGTGATTGGAAATACGTTTTCTTTAAAAACCAATAACAATTAAACCTGTTTTTATACAATATTTAAAATATTCTTGCCAAATAAAAAATTCCCTCCCTCATCTATTAAAAGAAGCAGTTGTTCTGATTTTTAAAAAAAATAGTGATCTAATAATTTTTTCTATGTGCCCTAAATTGGCTATAGTGGGACACAGTGATAAACTATAAATATCTTGTTTAATATTTTTTTTTTAAATCCTATTCTTTTTCATTGTGTCCAATGGTTGCCAAATTGGCTATAGTGGGACACAGTGATGAAGTACAACCTGTCTTCTTTAATATTTTCTAAGTTAAACCTTTTCTTTTTCATTGTGTTCAATGGCTGCTAAGAGCACATAAAAAAATTATTAGATTATCACTCTTTAAAAAAAAAACG